AATCGGGGGGTCACAGTGACCCTTGTCTATGACCGGCCGACCGTTCGCTCCATTTCGCGTCACCTTGTATGCGACAACAATAGTCGAGTGGCGATTGCCGTAGAAAATCATAGAAATCGAAAAGTTTTAAATTTAAGACGGACAGATGGACGTCTTTTAATTCAGTTCAGTTTCATTAGATCAATTCAGAAGTAACTCAATAGTGTACAAAGACAATTATCCTGAAGAAGGTTTAATAAAGAACCGAAACGGTCTGAATATTCTAACTAGTAGGAACCTTTAATTATATATATTATATTTAGTATTTATAGTCTTTCCGAAGTCAGTTGAACATGTATAAAAACGCCTTGTAATAAAATTTAATTAGTTTTATAGGCGTCCCTAAAAAAGTTTTCTGCTAAAGGTAAAAAATTATAATAATTTGTATATAATTTGTAGAAAATTTCTATTAGGTATATGTTCATTTGATCAACAACATATTTTAATTATTTATGTCCCCAAACAATTTTATTATATTGATGGTAAATTTCCTTTTGTTCCGTTTCAAAAGGTCTCCAAAATGCCATGTTGTAATAATATTAGTAAATAAACAATCCCTCTTATTTCTCCCTTTCCAAATTGTAATATAAATGATTAATAGAAGGTGCCTATAATAAATTAAAGTTACCTATATCACACCAAATTTCGCATTGCTGCACTGCACTGATAGGCCATTTGTTGACAACTGAATTTATGGCCAGGTCGCCCAGTGCGGCTGTGTTTGTGCCGCGTTTGCTTGCGCGTTCATTCTTCAACTGGGCGACCAGACCTATATATGGGTATGGTTAAATAAATATGAGAACAAGTTTTTCAAATACTTCAGTGTCGAGTTGCTGCGTCAGCGGCCGAACCTGGTACATACTGCCAACCTCTTGGTTCTTCAATTGAGATCATAAAGACTATAAATAATATATTTTACGAAATTTTGTTAAAATTAGGAATGTCACGGATTATATAATTGAGGAAATTCAGTAACTTATTTTCATAATTTTCAAAATGTTTCTTTTCCAGAATTATTTATTTAATATTAAACATATACTGTTAGTGATTGAAACAAATAATGAAATTTTAAACACAATTAGAACACAAATTTGTTCCCTAAAATTAAATATTATAACACTAGTTAATGCGCAACCGCGAATAGTCTACATAGCATATAAAGTAGAACTGTAGCAGCCATTACTGTGTATGTGTAGGGTGACGTATGAATATTGTAATGAAATCAGACAGTAATAAGGAACTTATAAGTTAAAAGTGCATTGTACAAACAAAATTGAATATAAATATTGAATTACTTTATATTGTAAAAAAAAATTGAATTACATTGATGGAAATTGATGTGGGAATTGTTAATATGACATATATAAGAGATTACTAAATTATAATGATAAGAAAGTAGAAGTAAATATTATAATAAAATTACATTTAAACTAGACCCGAATTCTGTCTGACAATTTATTATCAAAGAGTACATAATCAAAAACAAGGATAAACCTAGCGTTACACATATTAAAAAATTCCAAATTTGAATTTAGTACATATAAAAAAATATCAATACGTAGGTATAATTTAAATAAATATAATCATTTGAAATAGAAATTTCAATATAAATTAGTTAAAATGTTGACATATATCAACCCTGAAATAAACAGAAAGATGAGTAATTTAAAGAATATTTAACAAAATACCACAATAAAATTGTAATATAAGAACGAACATTGAAAATTTAACAAATTATAAGAGTGATGTGTAGTGGACTGCAGCGAGTAAAACCCAACAAAAGAATTGAAAATATAGTGTATGGACCTTAACAGAAAAAGGACATCAAGTCTCAAGGAATGAACAATAGAAAGTAAAAATATATACTGAGTTATGAAAATTTTGATGAAAGAAGAGGAGACATCACGTAAACGAAAATTAAAAATTTAGTTGAATAAAGGGAAAAGCGTGATTAATTACAAAGTTTTACTCACCTTTACAGAAGTCTAATTACAGTCATCGACATCACCGAGAAGTCCTGGCTAACAAAGTAACAAAACAATAATTATCAAAATTAACCCATTAAGAGATAAATAAATTACTTACCTTTGTAATATTCACACAGTAAAAGAGATCTATAATAATTAAATTTAAAAATTTTTATTTAAAGACTGCATTGATCAATTTTATGTCCTAAGAAGATATGAGTTACATTATTTATTAGTTTAATTTTAAGAAATAAGTAAGTAAACTTCAAAACATTGCTGACTACTGCCTGTACAAATTTAAAAAAACTCTTACATTGTTATTAAAAAAGAATTTAAAACTTTTAACCAAGTGCTAGATTTGTTTTGAATGACATAGATATAAGAAACTGAGTAGTGAAAATTTCTAAAAATTTGGGGAAATATTCTTTAAACATTCATTTATTGCATAGAAAGTGGTTTCTCTTTACATTGTGCCAGATAATAAATTAAAAAAATTGATACTCTGTTTCTTTTTGTGGTGTGTTGCAGGAATTGAACGACTTCCTGCTAGAATTCACCACTGAGATCAGATCTCATGTCTCTACTCATACAAAAATATTACCTAACACCTAACAAAATTTTAGAACAATATCACAACAATATTTTTTTGGCGCGGGCTATTTTTCTAAATCTTTTATAGATTCAAGACAAGAAAAGAATATTTCTCAAAAATTTAGTTTTAATTTAGTGGTTACTATACATCTCTCACTCACGCTGATATAATTAATGACTATGGTTCCTGTATGCGTTTCTCATTAAATACTTTGCAGCAGTTTTGGCAGAATTATCTACATACTTATATAAAATAATAAACAATCTAATTGCCTGTACATGACTTTTTAATATACTTAATTTCTATGAAATTGTCAAGATGTTCAGCTCAAACATATCCTTAATATCACTCCTATAATATTATGAAGGCTTCTTTTCTGTAAGTATTTATTCTAAGTATTTATATGTATGTTTTTATGAAAGACTTTAGTAAGTTATTAAAATTAAATAGACAGCAGGTCTTGCTCAAAAAGACTAATGTCAAATATCACTTTTGACATTAGTCTTTTTGGGCAAGACTTGCTGTCTATTTAACTTTAGTATCTTGATAATTAGGTATAGTGTTTTATGTAGGTAAGTATTTACGTTTTTTGTTATAAATTATTATTTATTATAATTAATTCACCCCCTATACAAACTTATTTATATTTTGAGCCTGTATGCTATAACCGGGAACTCACCTATTGGATATGTATTTTAATAAATAAATAGTAGGCGTTTTATTTGTGCATAAATTTTTATTTGCACAAACTGTGTACCGAAAACTACCTAATTTTTTTCTGACTGTTATAACTAACACTGATTAGTCTACTTAAAATTAATGCTTTATTGGAATAAATATAATTCCTTCATTTTCTTCCGTAGCCTTCTCCTTGTTTGGGAAACTTGTCATTGAAGGATAAAGATGTATTAAATATTATTTTCAAGTACTTAGTATTTACCTAATTGTGCATAGCAAATATTTTAATTCAGTCAAATTATTTTTTAAACATAAATATTTGGTATTTTCTTTCAGTTACGTACAAAGGATCCTTTAATTTGCCAAATATTAGTAAACGATTTAATTGGCTCTAATAAATTTTATTTCTTTCAAGTAAATTCTTTTCTTTGTGTATAGATGAAGAAAATGAATGGAGTAAGGTGATAAAAATACCGCTACATCGATATATATTAGGTTTAAACAATAAATATAGAATATACAGAAGACTAATCTGATTTGACTAAGTCTGGTTTGAAAATTTTAATTGAAAATACCTGTGAATAAGGCCTTACCTTACCTTTAATTACTAGATACCATTTAACGGATGAAGTGCTTATAAATATTGTCAGGTAATGGCATAATTTGGGAGCAGAGATTTTAGTTTGATTTTTTACAAGTCACTTGTATTATAAACCTATCACAAAAGCCACAATAAATATGGAGAAAATTTTACAATGCTTCTAAGAAAGGTAAGCTACCTAGATTTATTGTTTTGGAGAAAAGTACAGTGAGGTTTGTTTGTTTAGTAATATCTAGTCTTTAACTTTATGACATGCCCATGCTCTTCCAATTGACACTAAAATATCTAATAGAATTGCTTGATATTACATTAATAAACAATGCCACGTCAATCCAAGATAGTTATATTTGTAACTAGTTGGTATTTTAATAATTCAAATTAAAAAAGTCAGAAATTTTGATATACCTATAGTACCTATAAAAAGGAGAACTTGAATCTTCTGAAGATATAAGTACTTTTGCTTATCCTCACATTTTTGGACGTTAATATACTCTATTTAATAATAAATAGAGAGAGAGAGATGTTCTTTCGAATGCTTTTTCTCTCTTTGTGTCTCTAAGCAATAACATTTATAGGCATATTTTTATTTTATTTTATGATGTATTGAAGTTAAGTATTTTAAAATCGTAAATAAATTTGAATATTGAGACCTTATAAAAAATAAAGATAAGAAAGAGATGAGAATTAATACAAATATTTCCAACTCTTCTTCTTCCGAGGTTAATTTTTCATTACACAAATGATTTTAAACTTAAGCGTATTCATTTCATCGTCAATGGAACCGCATAATTACAAATCCACCTAAACAGAGGATCCCCAAACAAAAATCATAAAACATTTGCAAAATACATTGTAATACATAAGAAAACATGAACAGGTATTTTGTAAGAATATCATTGTAGCCTCCGACAATAAAAAGAATCAGACTTATACAGAATAACATAGTATGCGGTTACACTCCGGTGCGAAAGAGGGGGCCGAAGTAACCAATAGAAAAAATGGAGGCGGCGCCACCCTTTCCACGGATTCTCTTACGTACGCCCCGCCCCTAATATCACAAATACCTCACGAAGACTCTGGACAACTTCAGTCGTTTAGTTGAACTTGTCTAGTGAGTAGTAACTAACGTGTTCAGTGATGTCCAACCTGTATGGATTTACCGCCGCCGGAATGGTCGAAGAATATCAACAACAGCAACATAATCAGCAGTCCTCCCCCAGCCCTAACGGCGACGGACACATCAAGAGGCCGATGAATGCGTTCATGGTGTGGTCTAGGATCCAAAGGAGGAAAATCGCTCTGGACAATCCCAAAATGCACAATTCGGAGATCTCCAAAAGACTCGGTGCGGAGTGGAAACTGCTGTCCGAAGCGGACAAACGGCCTTTTATTGACGAAGCCAAACGGCTTCGTGCCCTGCACATGAAAGAACACCCCGACTATAAATATAGACCAAGAAGGAAACCCAAAGGACCTCTCCCATCTGGTTTAAAGACAAGTGTTGGTTTCCCGATGCATCAGCTACCTTACCCGTTCCCAGCGATGGACACTCTGAGTTCGCCGTATCCTTACTTCAATCCAGCTTTCGAGATATCCAGGATGCAAAGCATGAAACCTGAGGAACAGCATATCCCGCACCAACCAGCTGTGGTGACTTCGTTACATTCTTCGCTGCACAACTCCCTGTATTCGTCCCTGTACCATCAGCAACCATCGAAGGCTTTCGCACCAGCTCCACCAATGGGTATGTTTTCGTCCATTCCCACGCCTCCCATGATGTATTCCGCGTCTTCTAGTCCCGCGTCGAGTCCAGCCAGTTCAGATCTGGAAATCCGCAGGCCGGTCCCAGTAATGTATTAGTGAGAACGCGTTTCCCTCATCGATATGAACCTTTGTTGTTATTGTTGATAGTATGGACGTTGTATATAGAGAATTGTTTTAGTTGTTCTTATTTTACGATTGTGTTCTGTGATTGTAGCATTGCGACTGATTTTTGTATATATAATTCCATAGGTAATACTGTAATGTAAGAATCCATGTTAACTTATTTTAGTCTAAGGATGTATATAAATAAAAATAAATCGATTATATATGACATTATGTCTGTCTTTCATTTTAAGAGTTTATAACGAATTTTTAGTTGATTTGAAAATATCAAATCATTTCATTTATAAAAAAAAAGAATTTGTATTAACAACTTCGTAACAGTAACCCAAAAGAAATTTATTTTTCTGAGAAGAATGTTACATAAATTTGTATTTTTTTTGCAAAAAATTTTGAAAGCTTTTTGTTCACATAAGTTAAACTGTCTTTATCAGAACCTATACAGGTAATTTATGATAACAACGGTTATTCAGTGCCTAAGATATATTTGAAAATATACTTCAGCCTCATCTACTATCCGCCGGATAACATATATGGGTGAGTTTAACATCATACTCAGATTTATATTTGCATTTAAATACCTTATAGTTAAACATCGTAAAATTGTACAACATTTTTATCATTAGTTTTTAGTATTTAAACACAATTATGTACAATGCTTCAACAATACTTATCGATAGGCAACATTATTTAAGTATTTTAAAGAAAAAGTGATATGCATGTTAAAATCATATCACCATTTTAAATATTTTTCAAATGGGTAATATTTTTTTTATTAATATCTACTCCAGACATATTCATAATATTTAAATATAAATATTAAACGTCAATTGGTTTCTATTAACCATATTGTGGTTAATAGAAGCTAATTGACGTTTCATATTATATTAACAAAATTTCTTAAAAATGCAATATTTATATACCTAATTAAACTATAGGTATTCATTCTACATAATAGCAAACTATTAAGGATAGGATTAAAAATTCAGGATTAAATAGAATTACTTAATTAAAGATTTAGCAAATTTCTTAAAACTAATACAAAGCTCAACATTCCTTCATAATTTGAATTAAGAATAGGTAGGTAGTATGTTCCCCAAATGTGTCTAAATGATAAATGACCCTGGTTGCCATGATCTTATGTCAATAAAAATGGTACATTTCTAGATGCTTAAGAGTAAAGAGAACGTAGTTCGTGGTTTTATTACAAAAGTCCTTCGAAAAACAAATAAAAAACATAAACCCAAACAATAAAGGATTTAATTAGTTGATCTTTTTTTAATTTAAGTATGCAACTCAACTTACCTACTATTACCTAATCAAATTTAAATTACATACAAGATTCTACATAGAGGCACATTAGACTATTTATTTATTTTTGTCAATTTTTATATCTTAGCAACGTTTCGTTGGAATTTGTACCTCCTCATGGTTTCAAAAAGGCGGGTTTATAGTGGAAGGAAACATTATATCAGTTCACGAGAGAAATTCTTATAGAATATATTCGACAATTTTTTCTAATTTATAAAATTGAACCTTTATACAAAAACAGAGAAGGCAGAAAGTTGTTAGTAGATGCTTGAACTTTTTAAAGGGATATAAGGTACTTGAGGCATATAAAGCCCTATTAACTTAAATATGTAATAATTAGTATTTTTGTTGTTTATAAATACAAAATCAAGTTTATTAATTTGAGTTATGACAAAAGTTTAACAAATAGTACAAGAGACAATCCTTTTAAAAACATTTGACTTAAGAATCTCTTTCTCTGGGCCTTATTAAACCAACGTGGTATAATAAGGCCCTCTTGCGAATTTGCAGTTTCTCGCAACTTATCTTCACAGTGACTAAATTAGAAAATAAAAGAAATATAAAACTTTTATTACACATTTCCCATAACAGTAAACATGGGCCTTTTGACCTTTGGGGTGAAAAGGCAACTCAAAAAGTTTGGTTAAGTACTATCTAAAGCATACTAGGTAAACCAAACTTCTCTTAAAAAAATTAAAATTCTCTTTCGATAACAAAAAAAAATAAATGAGACTACGTTTTCTTTGATTCAAAAAAATAAAGCTTAGTTCGTTTTTTCATGAAAATAATAAATTACACTTCTTTGTCTTCGACTAAAACTTAACGTAATATTCTTGAAAATGTAAGTACCTAAACCGCAAATATTTGAGAAAATTGAAACTGTAACCCCAACAATGCCTCTATCGGTGAAAAGAGAATTTTATTTTCTATAATATAAAGCAGAAAAATACAGGGTGTTCCATTTGAATTTAAAAATATTTGTCTGTTTTAACTTTTCAAAATGTAACGTGAAAAATAAGACAGTATAATTTTCTGCAGGTAATTTTGATAGAGGAATTTAGTGCATCTTATGTTCTTTGTGTATTCCAAAAAGCAAGTGAAAGCTTCCAGAACGAAGAAAGATACCTATAAGAAATTTTCGAAACGCTTGCATCTGTCATTTTTTTTGTAAAATGACGATTGTCTCGAAAACGGTTAAATTTAGGTACAGGGAAGCATTTTTGGCTTATTTTTAATTTATCTTGTCGATAATGCAATAATATATAAGGTGTAATATGTAAATGGAAGTGCTGATTTTGAGTAATGTAAAGTGACTTGGTTACTTTTCAGGTATTCTAGACGGACAGAAAAATTAAAAATGTTGATCGTAATGAAATATATTTTATCTAAAATAGCATTGAAAGGTTTAAAATGTAACTGAAAAAATTATTTACTTATGAAAGAAATCAAAAACGAAACGTACGGTAAAAGTTTGATTTAGGCCACCCGGAATATGTTTAATTCTTACATTTTTCTAGTACACTATGTAAATAACATTAAAGTAGTTCGATTTAAAATTTTTTTTTAAATTAACACGGATCTGTATTTGTATGAAAAGTATTTTCTTTCAACCGTTTGTTGTTTATCGAAAATATACGACCGAAAATGGTATTTAAAGGTACATTTCAGCGCGATTATAAAAGTCGAAACAATAAGCGGTGAGTAATGAAGAAAATTCAATAAAACAAAAGTTCGTGCCTCGATCCAATCTCAAAAACAGTGCCATTGTGTCCACAGTTTTAAAACAATGTTTTCAAAGAAGTAGAAGTTCTGTGCAGAAAACTACAACCCTTTCAGACTGGATTCTTTGGCGTTTGTACAAATGAATTTGCTCCCCATTGGACAAGAGTAATTGAAATATTAATTGAATGAAAACTGTGGCTTTCGACTTCTGGCTTTGTTCGAACTGTATTAAGGGCTTTGAAAGGGATAAAATGTTTAAGTGCTATAAGACCTTTGGTCGTTGCTGGAGAAAACAAGTGGGAAGTTAAATTAATAGTCCCGTAAAATGGCGCACGTCACGTTTCTGTTATGTCTAAGGAAATATTTGTTTCGTTTCAAGCGAAATTCAAATCCCAACAATCCCAATTTTAGAATTATTAAACCATTACTTGGTTTAAATTTAGATATTTCTGAAAATAAAATAAATGGAAATACTTTTAAAATTTCGGGACTGATACCTACCGACTATTATTGCCGATTCTAAAGTCACTAAGGTTAGAATTTTTGTAAACAGGTTGTTTACCCTTTTCACGGATGTTAATGTCTCGTGTTCTGATTCTGGAATATATCTACCAGGAACCAGAGTCCTTAAAATTAGACCATTTTTCACTAAAAGATAATTTTTTTATAAAAAGCAGCAAAATCGGGATAAAAACATTATTATATGTGTTTATAATATAAACAGGTCCGGTGATAGTAGGTACTGACAACTACATGAAATTGGCTATTACAGAGCCATTTATAAATAAATTATTTAGTTTTACATAATAGGAGATACAGATTTCCTTTACGTAGAACCCTGTGGAACTCATGCGATGAGCTTACAAGGAAAACCAAAAAGAAGAAGAAACATTTGTTTATGAGTTTATGAGATTTAACTTTTTTCTTTGGGGTCTTTCTAAGATTTATGCGAACAAGTCTACGACCACTCACGCTTTGAAGGAGGTGAAAGCTGATTAAATTGAGAGCTGTATCAAACGAAATTTGTATTTTTGTAGCTATTATATCAATATACATAGCGTAGCATAATATGAATACCCATATTAAAGGTAAAAGAAAGAAGAAAGAAAGCAATTCTCATGTACCTGAGACAATGGCCGATTATATCTAATTAAAGCAGATCCTTGTATTCGATTGGATTACGTAGTAGGTACCCTAGATAATTCAAAGATAATTTACAGCCTGTGGTATAACTATAAGCTATTTTATAAAATATTAAATGTAAATTATAGAGATTAACATAAATTCACTGAACTTCAAAATAGTTTGTCTTTTCTGAGCAGAAAAATAGTTATTATCCATTTGAGAACTTCCTCATAACTCCAATTAATTACGAAATACTTAAAATTTCACCACGGATTGTTACATTCTTCTGCATATATAAAACATACAAGGCTGTCTAATTATAAATTTCGACGATTTCAAGTAACATTTATAATCATTACCAAGAATGATTCTTAAGATTTTATTCCTGGATGTTATTCTCGGTTTTAATTGCCTTACACAACAGTTACTAATGATTTAAAATTTATATTCGATCATAATTAAAAATGGTCGTGTAAAAATGTCGAGAAGAAGCTAGCTTCTAATTAAATATTTTGGATAAATATTTAATAACATAAATTACTCAGAACGCTGCGCCGTACTCTGAGAACGTGTTTAATGGCGAAAATTTGAAAGTTTCTGCCGGGCCTTGGCATCGCTATACCTACTTAATTTGCATGTTCGATCATAAGATTTTGTGATGATTTTATTTAATTTTTTATATTCTATAAAAATACATGATAACATCCAAACACCCTTAACATTTGGAAACTGTTTTTTTGAAATAGCTATCACGTTTCAAAAATTTATTTTGTTTAATTCTTCAATAGAATATATCTAATAAAAATCAATATAACTGATATAATTATTAAAATAAACTGTTGGTTGAATATTTTAGTTTTAGATATAACTTTTTAATTAGAGCAACTCATCAAATCTTTAAGATGTCACATATATAATTTTCGATAAACTTAATAAAATCTAGTTATTCACATTTCCCGAAATTTTCTATACTGGAATTTGT